AAACGAGAAAGAGAGAGAGAGAGAGAGATACATCTGATAGCTGACATAGACCATCGAAAGATAATCGAGTAGAAGATTGCAATTTGAAGTACTTTGCGTGATGATCAGCAGCAACGTCGACGTCCCTGCCCTTCCTCTCCTTGTCACGGCGAAGCAAGAAAATTAAGAGAAACGTAATAATTTATTACAAATTAGTTTGAACGATCACCAAAAAAACAAAGAAGAAGAAGGTTATCGGCAACCTAACACACACAAAGACCCCAACTTGAATGACAAACCAGGGTTCGGATGTTCAACATGAGGCTTCCGAAAGGAAAAGACATTTTTTTTTCTTCAAAAAATGACACATGAGACGATAATTAGAACTAATTAGGTTGAATTATCATTTTATAATTCTTAGCTTCAGCAGCGTCTACCCCCCTCCCCTTTCTCTCTCTTTCCTTCTCTCTCTCTCTCTCTCTTTTTGGCGATTTCTAATTTTTCCGTTTCAATTTCTTCAGCATGCCACTCTCCGCTTCTGTTCAGTTCTTCGTCATTCTCTGTTTCCATATACGTTTCCTGCTACTATCTTCATCATTCATGCTTTTCAACATATCTGATTGTAATCTCTTCATTCATCATACTATTCATGTTTCTTCTGTAAAGCTGCAAATGGATTTTTTACTTCTAATGTGGTTTTCGCAGAAAAATGAATGAGAAGAAACGTCTTATCACCTGACTGTTCCAATTTTTTTCTTTTTATCAAAACCTTCGAAGAGAGAGAGAGAGAGAGGGGGTTTGATGGAGAGAGGTAGATGAAGAGAGAGGGAGAGAGCCTTGTTTCTTCATCTTCTTCGCCTTCTTTTTCATTCTTCACTGAAATATTTTTACCTTCAAAGTACCTCTGTGTATACCTTTTTCTGTCTCACCCCCAACCTCTCTCTCCTTCTCACTTTCTCTCTCTCTCTCTCTATATATATATTTATTTCCTTCTGTCCTTTTTCTGATTCAATCTTACACTCTATTCACCTCACCATCATATATCAAAATCTCTCATTGACTAAGCAGTTCTTTCCCTTTCCACACCTTTATCAATAAAAAAAAAACATTTCATCGCTTGATTAAGCTCCGCCCCCTATCATGTTCATTTATCTCAATCCTTTTATGGTATTGAAACTTATTTTTTAATCTCCTCTGCCGTTATTTTTCTTTTCTATTTTAGTATTTCTCTCTATCAATGAGTTATTTTATGTAAGTTGTGTTCTCTCATCCTCTCACATTCTCTTACTCTCTCTCTCTCTCTCCTTCTATATATGATACATAGAGCTCTTATCGTCCCATATCATCAGAATCAGATGGTCTTGTTCTTCATCTCCCTCCCTCCTCCCCTCCTTCTTTTTCATTGTTTTTACTTTTGCATACAAATCTTAGAAGAGATTTACAAAGGACGTGAACAAGAAGGGATTGAGGGATGGATGGATTATGAAGGAGAAGAATGAAAGAGATTATCTTCATTCTATCAAATATCTAATTCATAAGATTATTGTCGATGATAACGAACGATAAAGAACTAAAAAAAAAATTTTTTTTTCATTTTTTTTATTCTCTGTTTATCAGAATTTCCGTTGTGATCGACTATTTTTGGATGAAATTGTATACTTTTGAATATTCAAAGAGAGAATGGTTTTATTGAAAAGGTGGAGGGGAGGTGGAGAGAGAGAGAGATGAGATAGAGCTGGCTGGGTTAAGAGGTTAACTAAGAGAATGATGCAACCATAGACAGGAGGCTGTAGTGCTCATGCAGGTGTCTGAATGTACGATTAAGTGAGCTGTTTAAGAATAGCCATCGAAGAGATATAGAGAAAGAGAATGAGGTTATGAGAGCTTGACGCAACTGAATGAGCAGCACACAGGTGGATGGAGGAGAAGCAGGATCTCATGAAAAGAGAATGGATGAAGGAAGGTGACTGAGCCTTCATTTCCCCACCATTGAGAACCTTCCATCGCTCCTATCCCTTGCCCATGTCTTTTGAATTTCTTCAAATTAGCCTATGTTTTATCAAATTTCGTGATTCATTAATAGAAAACTTTCTTTCTCTATCTCTCTCTCTCTCTCTATCTCCTCTCCTTTCATGTCGATTTTCACACACATGAAAGGTTTGTGGCTGAGCTTATGGCTCCTTGCATGCGACTGGCAAAAATCTGATTTCAACGATGTGGCTGACAAGACAACGTTTGTTTCCTATATTGCATCATTCGTCATGTTTTCTGTTTTTATCATTAATTTCCAATAATATTAGTTTGAAAGAAGGTGTGAGAGCTTTTCATTCACCTCACATCATACAGCTCCTCCCCTTCTGCTCTTTCTCTCGCCCCTCTATCTATCTATCTATCTACTCATTCACCTTCTTGGCCATGCCATTCGCCAGTCACTTTTTAATAATTTCCATCCGTTCATCTGCCATCTCTTCTAGTGCTCATCTCATCTTATGAAAGCATAGCCTCATCATCATCATCATCATCATCATCTTCATACCACTAACACACATTGCTTATGATCAATGAAGCATTGAAGCTTGAAGTCATTAAAACGTTTTTTTTACTTTTTCTCCTCCTAACTTCATTCATCTTTCATTTCAAATCTTCAGCCGTTTTAACACGAACAGCTGATCTTTTAAGCTTAACATTCTCAATTTATTCTCATTTATATATAACTCTTACATATTTAATACCATTTTTACATAAAAAAGTACTTTTTTTAACAAAAAAAAAATATTTTTTTCTCTCTCTCTCTCTCTCTCTTTCTCTAACCTCATTCAGTCATTTAGTATGACTCTCTTACAATTGCATACTCTCTCACCTATTAACATATAGAAGTTCAATAATCTGTTTCTCTTCTCATTCAGCTTTTTAATTTTAAATTTTCTTTCAAAACATTTTTTTGTTGCATCATACTCTATACTCTCATTCTCTCTCTCTCTCTTTCTTTCTCTTTCTACCATCCCTTCTACTCTCTCTTCCATTCTCTTGTTCTCGTCATCTTTCATTTCATCTATCATCAGTCTTCTATCATCTAGTACATGTATCGAGACTCTCTAAAACTCTCTACACCCTTCTCTTTCTATCTCTTCATCTCTCTCCATCTCTATCTCTCTATCTCCATGTTTTTTTTATTTTCAGCCATCTTTACAATATTTCTTTTTCTCTCTTTTGTACTTCATAAAGGCTGTGTTGTCAAGCTGAACTTTAGAGAGAAAAGTTCTTCTCATTTGACATTTTCGTCATCTCCCTCTCTCCCTCCCTCTCTCTCTCTCTCTCTCTCTCTCTCTCTTTAAATCATGACATGTTTTCCAAACAAATAACCTTTTCATATCTCTTACTCTCGACATCTCTCTTACTCTTCATACACTCTCTGATAATCTCTCAGTTCTTTTTTGTAGTTGAAAGTAATGTTTTTGATATTAAACAAAGAACTGTGTCGTAGACGCTTAAGTCCCTTGCCTATCTCTCTCTCTCTCTCTCTCTCTCTCTCTCTCTCTCTGTATAGCTGTTTCACTCTCTTTTCATCTCTCTTAAAGTTGTACTGCTTCATCCCTCCCTCTCACACCCTGTTTCGACCAAAAAAACACTTTCGCTTTGACCAAGCTTCCAAAATAGATTTCAGCTATTACTCATTCATGTAAATCTCTTTTTCTGTGTTTTGCATATTAGGGGGGAAGAAGTAGAGGAAAAAGGATTTTCTCCTCCTCTCTCCTGTCCACCATATTTCATGATTTTCATTCAATTATTCATCGTCTTCATGATGCTCATGTTTGAATCGTCTGAATCTTCTACCATTCATCTCATTCTCCGGTGGCAGGTCAAATTATTGTTTTTGGTTTTGAATTAATTTGTATGTTAATGAAGACACGTGTTATGCTCAAATAAGGATTCTCTTGCTTCCGCCCTCTGTCAGTACTGTCACCCCCTCCTTCCTTCCTCTCATCATTCCCATCCTCACTTCATCTGCATTCGTGTGATTTTGATAGTCAGTTTTTCTAACCTTCAGTCTCATATCCGTTAGTTCAAATCCCCTTTTCTCTTGCTTCATAGTGTGTCCTCCGTCCGGCTTTCCGATTCTCGAATCAAAAATCATGGAAACGTTAACGAATTCCAAAGCATCTGGGTGGTATTGCTATTGAGACAAAGAGATGAAGAGAGAGAATTCAAAAGATTTTCACTTTTTTCTTTCATTGACCAAGATATGGGGAGGGTTTACATCTTCTTCAATTCTCTGACTATTCGGCTGAGAAAAAAAAAAAGCTGAGTAGAAGCTGAAGCTGAAGCTGAGCAAGAAAGCTTTTCTCAACAAATTTTTTTTTTTCGTTCACCATTGAGCAGCTGAAGAAATGGGCTACTCATCGTATATGTTCGATGGCTTTAAACAATCACCTCATAGCATGCTAGTCAACATCATTCATTTCTCTTACTTTTCCTCTTTTCGACCTTTATTCATCATTTTTGACCCGCATCTTCTACCTTTAATTATGATGAAGAGAGAGTATGAGTAAGTAAGAGATCATGTGGTCTTGGACAGATGCCAATTAGATAACTTACGGTAATAATGGAGGGATGAAAGACCAAAAACTGCAATTGAGAAGAGATTATCATTCGTAGCACCTGCCTTTACCTTCTGCTACAAATAACTTTTGTTTTTTTAATTTCGGGTTAAAAGATTTTCCGTTAGCGGTTTCACTTCTGACGTCACAAATCCTATAATCATCCTTATTTAGCTTTTTCATCTTTCTTACCATTTACATCTGCTGGAATTATATTTCGTATGATTGATGCTGGCTTACCTCTTGCCTGCTAATCCTTTTGCTTTCATTAAACTTTCGATGCATCCAAATATGGCCTTCATATCCAAGCTCAACTCACATCTAATCTATGCCCTCTTTCTTCCCTCTCTCTCTCATACTCTCTCACCTCTTGCTTTCTCGTATTCATTGATGTTTCTCAAATTTCGTAATTACTGTCGTATTATGCTTACTGAATCATATTCATTCAACTGTTTTGCAGCAATCTGGTGGCTAAGGAATAGAACTAACCCTCCTCGAGGGGTGGAAACCAGACAAACCCAATTAATGAGAAAAAAGAAATATAAATACGAGGAAAAAGAGAATTTTTATACCAAGCCTGTAACTCGATCAAGCGGATTACCGAAACCTCCTGGTATGCTTTCCATTCTCTCTTTAACCGTATATGCTTATGCTATCTCTTTCAGTTTGCAAAACATCACTCGTAGCTCCGAAAAAGAAACGGCAAACGAGAAAACGTAAATACATTACCACTGATATTGTGTTAACGGTGAGAGAACATCGAAATTTGGAAAAACATTGAGGTAATTTAAGATTCGAATTGGTGCCACTACATGGTGCTCTAGAAGAGTTAGAAAGCGAACTTGGAAATGCACAGATGAAGACGACTTCATCACAACCTTGAGGAAACGAAAAAGAAAAGTATTACTCTGCGTTGGTGACGACGTAGACGAAAAGGAAGATATTATCGGGGATCCATCATATGGGAATAGAAAGATGAAGCGACGAAAGAAGAAGAATGAATGTAAGAAGAAGTCGAAGGTATTTCAATTTGACAGCACAGTCCACAGTCGACAATTTTCTCATTTAGGAACTATCTGACTTCATTGGTGATGATGATTACGAGGTGAGTATAATTATAGTTGTTCATATTCAATTTTCATTTTTCATATAGGTCGATGAGATCTTGGACATCAGAGCTGACAATATGACCATCGGCTGTCTAATCAAATGGAACCAAGATGGAAGCGAAAACTGGGAAAGCTTGACCTTATGTGTACGTTCCATGCAATTCGTTCATATCATTGTTTATTGCTGTTTAGAGCTGTGAAGCACTAGTAGATGCCTACTGGCAAAGTAGAATCGCCCCCTGTACCAAGTACAGAACGCGGGACTGTGATAGGAGCTGCAGCGGATGGAGTCTAGAACATGAGAAATTCATGAATATCTGCTATGTTTTAGGAAAAGTAAACCTTCAGGTGTTTAATGTCCTCTCACCGTTCATTATTTTTCAGAATCTGGAGTTGGAGACAAGTATCAAACGTGAGAAGCCTCACACTCCATACCTGAAGTTACTTGACATCCGTCGCAATGAGCATGACTTGTTCTTTTTGGTTGTTGTACGTGCTCGGAATGGTCGGAATGTCCTTCATTGGGCAACGAAAAATGAAATGAATGTAAGTTGATTCTATATATAATCAGATTTCCATACACATTACCCTTTCGTTCATTTCAGTCTAAAGACATTCCGATGATCCGCAGATTTATGCGCCAAACGATAAGCCGTCTGTGCTCCGTTCATTCGCAGTTTCTACACAACTGTCTTGAATTTTTCAATGATATACCAGAAACAATGAGAGTCTTCTATAAAGTGTTGGATTTGATGTATCCATTCGTATTCCGAAACATTCCACCGGAGTATGAATTCTGTGATCCAACCGATAGAGAAGGAGAAGAAGAAGTGATCGAATACAAGGATTCCATTGAACCTGTAGTGTATGATTGGTTAGATCGTTTCGAATTTCATTTCTCATTCTCTTTTTTCAGGGACCCAATCCCATCTGGAACGATAGCCCGGAATCTGCTTTACTACCCACATTGTGACTTCTTCTCACGATTCTCTTCAACCAAGTTGACGCACGTGGTGCTGTTCAATCGAGTCATCTATGTCGATTCAAGCATCGTTATGTTTGAAATAGGCAAGAGATGTTCTTCTCCGACAGATACCACCGAACCCTGTGTGTTCGAAGTCGAATTTTCGGATGACTTCTTGAGCATGTTCTGTAGTAGAAGAGCTCATTCCCATTCAGCTGACATGCAATCTTACCGAACGACCGAAGTTACGGAGTTCGAAGATTCTATGTTGTCCAAGACTATGCTAGGACAGGACAGCAGTGTGGGAATGAAAGCTTTGGACATATCAGATGATAGTATGATAACAGTGGATGAGCAACTTGAATCTGAAACTGTCACAGAATTGGTTCTTTCTGATTCGGATACTATGCTAGGAACAGAAGTTGTCTCAGAGTCAGAAGATTCATTAATATTGGAGGCTGATGTAGAGGAATGTGAAGCCTCTTCTTCGGCTATGAGAGATTTGGAAACAGAAATAGGAACAGAAAATAGGCCTTCAAATACGCCTGAATTAGTAGACGAAGATGATGATGATGATTCAGATGTTCTTGTGATAGATGAAGAAGAACCAGTGCTAGACCTTGCCGTAATGGCGAACGAGTGGACAGCAGAGGATCGCGAAATGTTACGAAGTATGTCCGAAAATGGTGTCTTGGCATTGGTACGAAGTGTGAAGAAGAACTCTACTCAAGCTGCTGCTGATGCATTTGCTATGTTGGTCTCGTCAATAAAAACTATGGACGAGGAGAGACCCTGCAGCCCACCATTCAGAGTAGTCAACGGCGAGACTTTCTTAACTCATTCAATTGTTATGAACATCGGTGACATAGTCAGACGACTGGGTAAAATCAAGAAATGTTGGCTGGCTAGACAGAAGATTATTCGAAGACTTGCCCTCGACGATTCTGAGAACTCAATAACTGAGGACGCTCTTCGTGGACGGAAGCGTTTCAGAACTGGGTTCGACCTTTCCTCTCCCACACCATCGAAGCGCCGTGCTCTTTGCTTAACTGAAGCATCGACCTCGTCGGATTCATTTCTTCCTGATTTGGATGAAAATGATGAGGTAGAGGCAGTGTTCAGAACAGCCATGAAAACGGGAGCTACAATAGAAGAGATCAGTGTAGCACTGGAATTCTTCAATGCGCAAGCTGAAAAACTAGCAGGAAGGACAAAATCTAGGGTGAAGGAATCAAACTCCAATCTTGACTACCTACTCGAGAGACCGGGACCGTCGGAAACTTCTGACGAGGCATCTTCTTCCAAGTCTGGGATGTCAACGGGACAAGGATATCGCGTATCCAGAACTCAAACAGTTCCATGCGATATGCAATGCAAACCGAGTACATCGCGTTGTCATGAACCGGAACAGACTGAGATGATCTGGGGTGAGGCATTTGAACCAGCTAATGAATCAAGCTCTGTGAAATTAGTGAAATCTAGCACCTCAAGCTCTATGAGTAGAACCTGTAGTTTCAAGTTCAATGAATCGGACAGTACTAGTACATATAGCGTCGAAAAGCGGAGGAAACTTAGTGCATCAGTATATGAGACAGCTGGACCTAGTACGTCTGAGATAGCACGAATAGATAAGTTCAAAGCAGGAAGCATTGAAAAAATCAATTCATCTATCTACCGAGAGCAGAAGATAACTAACACCTTAAAAATTTCTCAAACTGAAGAGTCGCAAACAACAAACTGTGACGAGTTCGGAAGAAAAGAGATTTCATGCTCAGTAAAATCAGATAAGCCGACTACGTCGCAGTTTAACATATCGGAAATGCTGGATGTAGCAGTAGATGAACAGAAGAAATCAAGTACCTTAGGCCAAAAACGAAAATTCTTCAATATCGAAAGTAGACCTCTCACACCATGCTCTGAGGAACAAGAAAGTTTGTCATCAAAATCGAATGAGTCTGTGAAAACACAATCATCACAAGAAGCTTTGAACAATAGAGATACGAGGCCTTCTGACATGCCGACAAGTTTCGGTCCTCTCCATGTGGCAGTACCTGACAAACAATTCCAACCAATTTACACAGTACCAAGCAGCCCCATTCCACCTCAGTTACCTCTACTGAACAGACCAGGACCACCCTTATTGTATTCATCAGAAAATACTCTTACTGCTCAGATGAATGCAATGTGTGTGCCAGGCCCTTCAACTTCATCTGATCTTTCAAGTCCAGTGATTCCCCCTAAATCGTTGTGTCAATTACCCATAGCTGATGTACTTAGTAACGGAACTGTCTCACAAAGCTCATCAAGCACTTCTATGGTCATGTTTCATCCAAGTAATGACACCACGCATGCTTCTAGTCCGGAAAAGGTGTCTGAACAACATCAAACAGTCTCCGGCTTTTCTGCATCTGCAATGATGATAGCAAGATGGTCAGGAAATGTAAAACAGACTTCGAGCCAAGTTTGCGTAACTCCTCTGCATTATAATCAGCAACTAGGAAACATCTCAGCTCAGAACATGGTACAATCGCCAGTGAATGAAACGCCTGTCATGCCCTCTCCTGCAACGACTACGCGGAATCGTAACAGACGTACTGCAACTACCCCTGTGAGGAGAAATGCTAGGACCGCAAGCAAGAACATGAGAAAACCTTTTTCGAGGCCTTCAACATCAATGGGTTCACCTGATCATCCATCTAACAGTGGTTATGGCTTTCCTTCAAGTATGACAATAGCTTCATTTACAATCAGTAAAACATAATTTTTGCAGATTCGTCAAACACTTTCAATGGATCCCACTTAGCGGGCAGGGTTACATCAGGTAAGAAACAGTTATTCGAAAGTATTGTACTAGCCCATGTTTTAGGAGCAATGGTTACACCTGGCAATAAGAGCAACACATCATCTGGCTCCAAAACGACCTTGTTCAGGCCTTTCGATAATCCTGAAGAAAGTGCTAACCCTGTGGTTTCTGGAACGCCGTTAGTGTTCAATCACTTCGAAATGTCCAACACCCCAAGCACTTCTTCAATCAATAACTCAATGAGCTTACTGGCAACGATTACTCAAAATTGGGCGAGTACAACGATGAGCAATCCAGTTGGTTCCTTGCTACCTAGTAATTCTGATAACCAACCTGGGCAGGCGAGCTCCAGCTCTGGACCAAGTAGAACAAGCACATCAATCTTTCCAGTTCCAGGAGCTGCAGTCTTTCAAGCCTTAGGTAACTTTTACTCATATCCAATTCTTCGACAGCAGACAAAATTTGCATTAGAAACCAGCTATGTCTTTTTTTCCAGGGAACATGAACTCTCTTGTCAATAATGGCTCATTCAACATAGCATCACAGTATATGTCATCGGCGCTTATGACTGCAGCAGCTTACCATGTCATGAACTCAAAGAAATCTGAGAATCCAACAGAGTTAAGATGTTCTACTTTCCGGACTTCCCATACGTTTGCCTCTTCCTCCTATTCATCATCATCCTCTTCAGTGCCGGTATTCCCTCCTTTCAGTTTCACCTCTGCGAACTTACCGCATGGTGACAACCAAATGATTTCTTTATCAAATTTTATGGGCCCCATGTTAGATGTAGCCACAATGAGCTCATATTTCTCAGGTGGTTCTTTACCCCCCAATTTTTTCCCAAATCCTGACGATACTTCTAACAATAGAGATTAAATCCCAATCTAGTTAACTGTAAGATAAATGAAAAGAGTAAAAGAAATGTACGTAGTAGTTTAAGAGTTTATTTTGTCGTTTTGATGTTCACACTATACATGAGCTCAGACTGGATTGGAATCGACTTTTACCGGTAAAAGTCGACTCGATTTCTTTTTAAATGCCCATGTATAGTTCACAGTATGTGACATCGTTGTTTACGTTGATTAGGCCAATTAATCCTTGCCATTCCCTTTTTCCCGGTTGGCCGTTTAGCTCCTCCTACCCTCCCCCTCCACCACCATTTCCAGATCTTGCAGAACCTCTCATATTATTTCTAAGCTGTTCATAGTAGTCTCTAACAAATTCATGTCTGAGAATCTCTTTGATCTTTCCATCATTCATGTGTTGTGTCGACAACTACATAGACTGTGTTCGCTACTTTCCATCCAAACTTTTTCAAATCTTTTTTTTGTTGTTTTTTTCTTTTTTTTTTCTATGAAAATTGATTTTCCAAATGCATATATCATACAGTTTATATCTTTTTGATGTTCCATAGTTATTGGTTTGAATGTTAATATTGAAAAAGAAGGAGAAAAGGAGAATTCTGCTTGCCCATTCTCTTGCTCTCCTCCTACTTCACTTCTCCCATTCGTCCTCTCCCCTCTCTCCTGTTCCATGCATTTGTGTCCAATCATCATGCACATTACTACTTGGTTCATTCTCGCCTCGTTGTCTATTGCTGTATTTAAGAACGAGAAATGAATAATTAGATATGTAGAGTATATTGTCTGTTAACTTACATCCTTCTTTGATTTTTCTATTTTCTTTCAATTGTAAATAATGTTATTTCATACTTTTCCAATGTTCAAAGCCCTGTATGTTTAGTACTTTGCATAAACTCTCTGTTCTCAACTCTTCCAATCTGTTTTCATTTCAGGTATACGGTAGATACAACTACATACAAATCATTATAATGAAAATTCATTGTGATGTTTAAAAACAATAATTAAAAACAAAATTCAGGTAGAAATACTTTATTATTCTGTAAATTGAACCATGCGAGAAGGAATGTCGCAGATTCTTCTCTCCTGACCAATCGTGGCGCTCTCTAGGAATACATAGCGTAGCAAAAGTACAAACAACAATGAATTATCTGCATTATGGTCCCCTTTCTGCGAATAAGGATGAAGTCCAACTTTTCGTTTATATCAACGGCGGTAGCTTCCCATCCACTCTCAGCTTTAGGTTCTTCCTCGGCCGTCACATCTAAAATTTTTATCGCACTTCCTACTTGGAGTAGAACGTGCGTTCCATGTTACAAAGTATCGTGCATAAACACACAGAACAGTCGATTTCCCAGCCGAATCAGAACTGTAGAACATCCATTTATAGATGGATTTAGACATTGGAAGAGGTGGTGAAGAAACTGAAAACTTTCGAGAGATGTGCTGTTTGATTCCACAGAAAATTGCAGACTTGGGAAATCCTCAGGAAGCATTTTGGTCTCGAAGCGATAAGAAACTTCTTTAAAATGGTTTTTGGTGAATAAATTTGTACTTGATTGTTAAGAAAGCAAGAAGAGATCAAGAAAAGATAAGAAAGGAGTTGGTCAAGCGGTAAGGATATTCAATTTTTTAAACTTCCAAGACTTCCAAAATTGCATAAATGCAATTATCATAAACAATTATCACATAAAGTGATGAAGTTATTTCTCTTTTGGCTCAAATGCTCAAGATGGTATGTTTCAGGTAGGTTTGTTCAAGAATCTGGTAGGTTTGTTAACGCTCCGCCCATTTTCAGGTGGAATTATTTTTCAGCTAACGACTCACGTTTTGGGAACTTAAACGACTTCGGTTACAAATTAAATGATTCTTTTTTGTATTTTTTTATTTCTCTCTCTCTTCTTTCTCAACTTGTAGTACCTTTCCTATGTATGATCTTGTCTCTGTTAAGCCTATGCCTCCTCCACCTCTCTATCTCTCTGTTCATCAGCTTTCTCTTCGTTAAGGCTTGAAATCATTATCTGGAATAATCCTCAGCATGTATGGTCAGTTAGGTGATATCCTACTAGGGATCTCTTTATACATTTCCGTTATGAAACGAACTTCCTTTTCTTTTCTATCTTATTGAAGTTGAGCTCCTTTTCCGTCTTCAGCCGTATCCCAAAAAAATTTGGAAAATAACCGTCCAATTACCTTGTATGTACATGCATCTTTGACTTCTCAAGCTTCCGAAACCCCCAGATGGGCTTTCCCGTTTTCTTTTTTTCCCATAAACTTGGAGGATGATCTTAGACTAGAATTGAGCGTTTTTCACCTACGAATTAGCTGTTTCTAGCATCGAATTGGTACAGATCTGCTTCTCACCTCTGCCGTTCCATATGTGATTAGCAAGGATTTCTCTCAGTTCACCATTACCTCTCTACTCATCTGTGTTTGTCTCGCTTTTTCCCTTCTCTCTCTCTCTTCTCTCAGTCTTTTCCACTTTTTTTTGTGTTTTTCGCAGAACCTTTCTGAAGTTTAGTCGATCCATGCGAAACTTTTACAACAACTTTTTCAGAAAATGATTTGATTTTTCTTTTTATTTTCATGAATAGATTGACGCAAATGGAAGAGTGTTCTATCAATTCCTTGCTTATCAGCATTCGTACAGTGTGGAACTTATCGAGATTTCTAAACTGAACACATGAATAGACGAACAGTTGGCTGCTTCCCAAGCATTACATGGACTCTGCTGACTAGACTGCAGTTCACTTCCACTCTTACGCCATACGTGTTCTATTCGTTTTTATAATTTTTCGTCTAATCGTCTGAGAATGAATCTTACCGTCCTGTGATTCTCTGATGTTCACACATACTCTACATTTTCTCTTTTTTTACTCTCTTTATCGAACACTCATTGATTCAACCTAACTATCGGCATCTTCTTGTGTTGTTTCTGTTTTTGACTCCTCCCTAACAAAAATATTTCGCTCAACTCACCTCTTCCTCTCATTCTACCTCAAATTCGTTCTCACCCTCCGCTCCTTTCTAATTATTCCATTTTCTATATTCCATTGATGGTTTTCGCTTCCCATCTATCTCTGCCTCTCTATCAAGCTATATCCTTGATTTTTGAGGATTAGGCTCCTCCTCCAGAAGTTACTCCGCAAAAAAAGGATCAGTGACGTTTAAGCTCCGCCTCCTTATTTTTTAATTTCTTTTGGAAATTGGTGTTGGCCATAAGCGAACATATGCCAGATGTTTGTGTGATCTCATTAGAATATCGGCTTTCCAGAAGCCATTTTCTTTTTAAGCAATTGCTATTTAGCAAATGAAAACGTTTTTTCGCTTTGAACTCGCCGTAACCACCTTGTCTGCTTGAAACCTCTACCTAATCCTTTCATCTGCAAACTGTATCCTTGTTAAGCTTAGCCTAGGTTGGAAGCAAAAGGCATCAGTTTTGTATTAAGCTTGCCATTTGAGAAGCTCTGATTTCATTCCGCTCTTCTCTGCACCATTTTATTTTTATGTCTCTCGTCTTATGGATACCCTTTCGGATTTGCGAAGGTTGACTAGACGGCCTGATCACCTCACTCTCTCTCTACTTCCTTTGCTGTTCAGATTTTCTTGTAGAATTAGAAATGAGTAATTTCATCTCTGCTTTTACCTTTTTCATAGAAAAATGATTTGAAGAGAGAAAGTAGTATTGCTCAGTTACCTTATTCCATTTTCCATTTTAGGAAAAAGTCAGAATCATATTCAATGCGATGATATCAGGTGTTGTTGTCCATGTTCGATTACAATGCGGTAGAGAGAGAGAGAGAAGGCTTGCGAGTGGAAAGGTTCCGGTGAGCCAGAATAGTAAAAGAAACAAACCTTGTATATCTGGTTGCACTGCTAAATATGAAAGTCTCTAATCTCAAGAAACAAGAGAACTGCTTTTATTTTTGTGTTTTCCCTCCGATCGCAAGCTTTTTCCCTTCTTATCACGGCCACCTTCCCACCCTCTCCTTCGTAATCGTTTCCAGTGATCTCTTCTTTTGATACTTATTACTAAAACAAGGATTTTCTAAGTCTCCAGAAGTCAAGGAAAATATTTTTTTACCTCAAAAGTTTTCTTCGAATGCTTCTCAAATGCTATGTGTCCCCTTCTGTCATACTTATTAATGCCGCTTAATCATATGTAAACGTTCTACTGTAGTTCTTTTCACAACTTTCTATATTATTTTTTCTCTCTTTCTCTACCATCCTCCCTCTTGATGACTCTCTCTCTAACAATATTTTTTCAGCAGAAAGTTTACAATTATTCTTCATAATTCGGACAGCAGCGACCGCCCTTTTCATATTCGTCGGCTGAAGTGTACAGGTCAGAAAGAATGAAAGTGTTTTTCTATTTTCGTATCTAGTCATGTTAACTAATATTTGAACCTCCCTTGGCCTCTAACTTTCAAGCTGTTCATCCCTCCACTAGAATTGAGCCTATAAAGGTTTTTTCTTCTTTATAGCTTTTGGCTAGCGCATCATTCATCAGAGATAAGACTTCTGTTTTTTTTTCTCCGAAGAATAGAGCGAAAGATGAACTGACAGTAGCTACAGCATGGCTTGCACGTACGAGAGGAAGAGAATGAGAGAGATGGTTGAATATTTCATTTGATTTTTAGTTTTCAAATCAATCTCTCTCTTTCTCTGATTGTTATCCTCCTCTCTCTATCATTCGAAAAGTTCAGATTTTTTGTCGGAACTATGGTTCTTCCTGTGAAATGCTCCTTATGCTTCGAATTGAAATGAATTATACGCTTTTCCCTTTTTGACTGAAAATTCCATATTTTATCTGTTTTTTTTTGTTGGGAAATTGGCGATGATGTGACCTTAGGCAGTAAAAGGAATATTCGAATGAAGGTTTTATTTCTTTCTGCTTCTCTCATTCTCTCTCAGCTTTCACAGTTTTTCATTCGACTTCCTACTATTCACCCATTAGAAGAATTCGTTTCGGACAAAAAAACCATGAGCTGGATGAAAGAGGAAGAAGAGAGAAAG